GCAGCCCGCTCCCCTCCCCGCCGAGCCTACGGGCGAGCGGGAATAATCCGGCCTCTGCATCTCCGCAGCGGGGCGGCTGGGAGGAGCTCCTGCTCCCGGGCTTCATCTCGGGCACCCGAGCTGCTCGCAGAGCAAAGCAGTTCACGGGGTGGGGGGGGAGGATGAGGGGAAAAAGGAAAATTAAAATCCTTAAGGCTGAAGTCACCACGGTCAGTCACCTAAGGATAATCTCATCGTATGCTAACGACTCTCTAAAATCCAAAATTCTTTTTCAAAAAACTGTTTTGATCAGGCCCTGTTGTAAGAATAAATAAAAAGCAGTAAGGTATAAGTTGCAAAGCCCCTACAGCAAAAATAGAGGTTTTAATACATTAAAGCATATCGCATGGCAGATATCATTCACAAGTGTGTCCTTCCAGCAAACCTTTCAGCAGAATACCATATGGAATCTCATATTGACCCATATCACATCAATTTCTTACTTATAGTGAATGGGAAAAAAATAACACTATATACATTTAGGACTCTGAGTTGTCTTGCTAAATCTCCTTCTCAAAAAGACCTGCTTAAGGTCACCCCTCTAGCAGCCTGCTGTCCCCTTCGTCATTTCTTTTACTTGGGGGGTTAACCCAAGAAGCTTCTCAGGATAGAAAGTTTCATACAGTGTAGATTCAATGCAACACAGAAGCGGTAGGCACGCTCAGAGCACCAGAATCAGGAAGCCTCATAACTTACACGAATCATCTTTATATAAATGTGCAGACTGAGGAAGCCAAAACTAAGACAATAAGATGGCCGGGGGGGCTGGCTGAGCCCACAGCAAACCTCAAAATAACCCTCATTGCCATGAAGGCCTCTTCCTTGGTAGAGGATGCAGAGCCTGGAGAGGACAGCGTTTCCATACAAATAAGTGTAGTTTTCCTGCCACTTTTGAGCCACGTCTTACACTTGCTCAGCAAATGGTCCTAGACCTGGTTTGCTCCAAGAGGACATTGCCTGCATGGGAGAAGAGCAACGGGTGCAGGACCAAAAGGAAAGTGACAAATGTTCGGGTTAAACACCATGGAACAGAGCCAAAGATGACAGATCGGTACCACGAGGGAGTACAGGGAAGATGGACACTGGCCAAGTTTGACCTGCTGGGACATTCAAATTCAAGGATAATGTAAAGTATAATAAATGAGGAAGAACCTCTGGAAAAAACAAATCCTATTTTTCTGCAGCTGGATGGAGTTGCATTGTACAGGCTTTTGTCTGCAGAAATAGGACAGCACAGACCTAAGTGCATGCTCAAACAGCACTCAAAAAATGGAATGAAAATACAGAAGGGAAAGACACGGTGCAGACACCAGGATCTTCCCGTCCCCAAACCCTTTCCTGTGCCCACAGGTCGACACCACAGTTCATGGCCATAGCTCCAAGCACCCTACAATAGTGTCACTCCTTGCAGGAGCAAACAGGAGAGTACATGGCAATCTCATGACAACAAATAAAGGCAGGGAGCCAAAAGCAGCTTCCGACTGCTGCAGAAATAGCTCCGCGCGATGCACAGAGTATAAGCTGTAATGTGCCACGGGCACAGAAGAATCACTAAGAGGAAAATATGGTGTACGCATCCACAAAGGATTCCTCCTCTAAGAGAGGAAACAGAAGAGAAAGCTCAAGTAACTTCAGGCAATCACAGCTATATTGTGGATGGAGACAGTGTACAACATCTGAATCTTTCAGCCATATATTTGCAGCTGTAAACAAATAAAAATGGTTACACTCCAAAACTGCCCTGACCTTTATACAAAGACAGAACTTGGAAGTATCATATCTCACCATGCACATGGTTACAAAATACAGCATTTAAGCTTGACAATTTAAAATATGTTCCTGTGCAGCTCACTGACTAAATCTTGAGTTTTATTGTAGTCACAATCTCACTTTTTTGAAAAAAATATTTTTACTCATTGAGGGCTTCTAAATATGGAGAAAATGTTCAACTGCATATTTCAAAAACCCTCTGTTCCATTTAGAGGAAAAAGAAAACACATCAGAACATTTAAGAATCTCTTTCAGACCTCTAAAGAGATACCTCCATATTTATTAATTTTTCCTCACATTCAAATTGAAGTTTGAGTTTATACTTCAGAACACACACACAAAAAAATCCTTAATTACCCACAAAAAAAAATATTTACATTTCACCTTTTAAGCAGTGAAAGTGGAGAGAAAAATCACCCAAAGCTACAACCATTTTCAGGCAGCTTTCTACTCTGTTATGAGGTCTGGCAGGATGGGTCCCCTTCAGCATAAGGTAGCTTATCTGGAGTAAGTAGTAATTTGTCCTTCAGATCTAGTCATCCTTAGGGCAAACATTGTAATGGCATCATTAAAATGACAGTTAGCCAAGCAACATATAAATTTAAGAAGAGGTATATTATCAAATGCTGTATGTCTACTATACTGGGAAGGCTATAAACTACAGAGAAACTTCAAGCCCTTAAACTATCATCTCCAAAAAGTTTTGTTGTTAGCTCAGATTTATACCACAAATTGACAGTTCTGTCATCCCCTCCAAGGTTTCAAACCTCAGCAAAATCCACTCACACACCCAGAAACTTCACCTGCTTCTCCTCTCGAGGACCACAAGCAGCTGAGCCACTTCTCTTGCTTTCATGCAGGTTGGCTTTTGTTGAACACAGGAAAACAAGGACCTAAATTATCTTCTTGCCTAAGACAGTTTCATTCAACACACGAGCTTCAAACAGAACCATCTTAAGAAGCCAATTCAAAACTTAACAGCTGATGTGGCATCAATAAAAGGGCTGTTACCATGCTATGAAAACACCACATAAAATGAATTGCTCGTATTTCAAGTTTATTCTGCTTGCTTACTTGAAAATAACCTATGCTTCATGCTTATACATAGTCCCCAAATACCAATGAGAATATCCATATCATAATCTTCCATTAATGAGCAGGACTAATTTGTTACTCTCATCAAATGGGAAAGCTGCTGCTTCCAAGAGTCTCCAAGCAGTATCAGTTAGGCAGAAATTCAAGAGTTAGGCAGCATCAAAAAACTGATGCCCTGTCCAAAAACATAAAGTTCAGCATTTTCCCACTACCCTTGATTGATGTGAATACAAATAGCTTTTTTTTTTTTTTTTTAAAAAAAAGTGAAAAAAAAACCTACCACACACACACAAAAACACAACACTGTATTGGCAGATAAAGCAGGTTAATAACCAGTGTAACTGCCTTATAACCAGATTCTCATGCGTAAAGCTTGGCACACTTCAGACTACCCTGCAGAGCCCAGGGAAAGGCACGTGGTGGTTCAGGTTTCCTCCATCCGCACGTTCTGCCACATCCAGGTTAACGGAGGTGAGGAGCCAGCACCCTGTGCCGCTAATGACATGGGCAAGTCATGAAAGTCTATGTAGACAAACTGACAACTGTTCAGAAGGGAAAATTGCTAGGAAAAAATAATCATTTGCACAGCATTTTCAAGCGAACAGGCTTATTTACTGAAAAGACAATAAGCTGATAAATTCCCTTGCAAAAAGATAGCAGCTACCCTAGAAAGGGCAGCTCCCTGTCCTGTCGGCTCAGCAGGCAAGTGCATTTACAGGATGTAAATCAAGAGCCACTGCTGCACCTTCAGTGCAGGGCAGGAAACACTCCTCGCTTCCCCTTTCCCAGGGGCTCAAGGCTCTCATATCCGCAAACTCAGCGCTGCCCACACGGTCAGAGCCCCTGAGAGCATGGAAATTCAGACCGAAACTTTTCCATTGATGTGGAAGGACCAACTGCTGCAATGACAGAAAAATATTTTCTAGGATAATCAGCATGTTGCAAATGCAGCTTTTTTTTTGGTCTTAAAGTTCCCAATATGTCAGAAGATACCACAGCCCCAGTAACTCTACAAGGAAGGTAGAACATTTTGCTAGAAACAGGAATTTAATAGCAGCGTATTTCAATATCTGCCCCACAGTGGCATCTGAGCCCAGAACAAGACCTGTGAGGACAAACTTTGCAGTGAGTGTTCACGATTTTCTCCCACTTTATTTCAAGCCTTAAATTGCTAAGCAGAAGACAGATCTAGGTCAGCACTCTGGTGAGGTTCTTCATAAACCTTGATAAGTGGAGCCAAAAACAGATGGGAATGCTCTCCTTCCCCGCTGAATGGTCATTACCAGGAGCATTTATATCAACCTGCCTTTGGAGCTCCCTCCAGCACAGAATAGAGGAGAAATCCACTGCCATACGAGGAAGAACTGGAGGCGTCTGCGCTATAGTGTACTCCATATGCCAAAATAATCAAGCTTCAACACAGAAAATGCAAAATACTGATGCTCAAGAGCATTCGGGAGCAAAAATTCACAAAAATAGCCCTTTCCGACAATTAGCACTGGACAGAGCTCCTGGAAATTTAAAACATGATTTCCAAGGAAAAGGAGCTTTATATCACCATAGCATTCAAGGGTCCTCTCTCAGTCCAGCCCCTCCTCTGCCTCTTAGTAATTCCAAACTCAGCTAAACTTACCTATGGAGCAACAGGCGGCTCTCAGGAGAGGATTAAGAACACTAAAGCTAAAGCAACTAAAGCCCCGAAAGTCCCCCGACTTGCACCCAGAGGACCGGGGCTGGGCAGGCTAAGCACATCCTCCC